AACTCTAAAGGATATGCTAAATAAACAGAAAGGGGTAACAAAAACCCACAGAAATAGACTGCATAATACTCTATTAACTTTGAATTTTGTCAATGCTAATGAGAAAGGAACAACAGCTGCATAGAGATATTGGATAATAGAAAAAAACTATAGAATTAAATCAGCCTATATACTTTAAGGATGTGCTGACCTCAGAATGGAAACCAGGATATGTGTTACATTGGGAACAAGGTTTTGCTTTTGTTTTTATAGAAGAAGATAAGCTGTGGGTACCATCAAAATTGATAAAGGTTCAATTTGAACAAGAGAGACCTCTTAATTAGAGGAGGTAATAGTTCATCAACGAGCAAGATCATCCAATTTAAACTAACTTATACCATTAACACATGCCTTTTCATTTAATCAGATAATAACTTGCCAAAAGGGAATATCCCCAAAATTAGTCTTGGGGAAAGGTTTTTGTTGTTGTCTTTTTGGAGAATGAAGGCTAAGGAATCTGAAGAACACTGGACAAATGAGACAACTGAAGAAAAGGGACAAATCATCCATCCCAGGAAACAGAGTAAAATGGCCTATTGGTATATCATCTACAAAATTTTATAAGTCTTCCTAAATGTTTGTTTCTGCTCTTCTCTAAAGAAATTTAACACCATTGGCCTTCTTATAGTCCAGTTCAATTAAAATTTAAAACTGACTTTGGAGTTGGAGAATGGCTCTCTCCTTCTTTTAACTCAAGCATGTTGTTAAAAGGAAAATGCAAACTCCCTGTATCATGCCAGAAGAAAGAGCCATGACATGGGACTCTTCTGACATGGGACAGGAGAAAAACCAAATTAATTAAGGGACTATTCTATTACTACTAATCTCAACTCTTTGATTCTATTCTGATTCCTTAAACTTTTCTTAAAGTATGAATTTAATATCAAAATTTACAAGATCAATATATATACATATACATTTTAAACTTTGTTAAGATGTTAATAGTCATATAGAGTACTAACTAATTCTAGAAAAAAAAAGGCTTCAATTAGCTGCCTATACATGTCTTTGTGTTTGAGTCTCTTATCAGTTTTCTGCAGGAAATCATAGCCAGGCCCAACATCAACTGAAGTCTCCAGAAAGAAGATGGGGCCCCACAACAACACCAATTCCACATGGACAATAATAATATCACTAAGCTGACAAACATCATCTACAGATCAGCTTTGGACTACAAAGTGCTCAGAGCAATTTTGAGAGGGCTAGCTGAGATGATCCAGTTTCAAAGACTACGTGAATAAGGACTTAATATAAATCCTGAACTTTGGCATCATGCTCAAACTGGACAATGAAGGATATGGCTACCTTTCCTAGAATTTGACAATTAACCCCAAAATTTTCTTTTCAGAATAAAAATACCTTCGCCCATACCCAGCAGGAATCAATTTTAAGAATACTACTCCCACATTCCCAAAGAGGTGGTGTGGGGCGGGTGTTTTTTTTTGGTCTTTTAATGGGTTTGGAGTCTGGGAAAATTTTCATTGTTTAGGAGGGTTGGTTACAAGTTGTTTAAGGGTTAGGAAAAGGGCTATGCAAAGGAGATTAGATTTAAGGTTTTCATTAAAAAAAAGAAAGACAATTACTAGTTTTAAATACTTTACATTGGATTGGATTGTTTTATATAGTATACAAACTATATATATATATATATATATATATATATATATATATTGTTAGAAAATGCCATACATATATTTCTAGTCTTCTTCAAGATATTGTACTGCAATTTGCTGATCCTTGAATGTTATTATTACCAACTATTAGGATAAAAAAAATGAAAGTTAGTAGTTAGACATTACAATAAAACTTGTAGTCACATTAGGTATGTTTTCAAGATTGAGTAGATATATTTTAGATAGACAAATCATCTTCAAACCTTTCAGAGATCTATAGAATATGGCATTTAAAATGTTTTAATAACTTAGAAAAATTTTCTTTTTTGTTATGACTATGAGACATGTCAGCTCCTGGCAGTACCAATCTACTTCAGAGAAAGTATGTGCACTGAAGAAACTGCATATGGAGGTAACTTTCATTGTGGCAAAAGTTAGCCACTGGACAACAAAGTATCCTCGAATCAACTGCTGACAAACAGGAGAGACAGGACAAGAAACAAAGGACTACCAAATCTTGCCAAAACAAGTGTGGTTGTGGCTTTATCAAAAGGCATCTTCTGAGGCCAGGACAATATGGCACCATCCCTGAAGTGGCCTTTGCAAGCTCAAAAAGGTACAGTGCCTTTTCTTCAAAGGCAACTGAACAGGCAGTAGGCCGATCGCTTCTGATGTGCAGTGGAATGGCAGCTGAAACAGTTATTCTTAAAGAATAACTAAGCTCACACCTCTGAATAGTAGACTGGCATTTAATAGAGGGATGTGGAGAAGAACGGGATGCTGAGATGAAGCCACACACACACATAGCCAAGAAGAATGGACAGCTGAATTAAAAAAACATCAACAATTTCCAGAATTTAAAATCCTGAATCATAACGACACTAGTGGAATTCAGGTGTTTCTGGTACATGGACTGCTCTCACCCAATGTGAGGTCAAACTGTTTTCCTTGTGTACATCCTAGTTCACAAATGAGTCTGTCAGATATGCTAAGCCTATAGGCTGAAGATGATACCCCAGTGCTGTGGAGAAACCTTGGTTGACTGTCCAGGCAGCTGGCTGTTTCTGTCAACTCACATTTTTTTTTTTTGGAAGTTGCTTGCATGCACTTCCTGTTTTTATTTTTTATTAGGTAATATTATTTCCTTCTTGGGTCTCTGAGAGAGTTGAAGATTAGTTAGTTATAGTTGAAGATTAGTTAGGATAGAAAGTGAATTAGGTACATTTTGGGCTTACCAAAATAGGATAGATAATGGAATTATTTTCTCTGAATTTGTCAAATACAAATGGACTAGACTTTCTTTTGGGTATTTATTGCTTGTATATATGGTATATAGTTATTGTATTTTTGTATATAGTTTTTCTTATATTAGTTATACCTTTTTTCTTATTTTCTTTTTATTAAAATGGAAAAGGGGAAATATGGTGATATTTTATTTGTACTGAAATGTGATTTTATTTGCATGTTAATAAATAAAGTTCCCTGGGGGGTCAAAGCTAATAGCAAGCCATAGCAGAAGCTGGGTGGTGGTGGCACGTGCCTTTAATCCCAGCACTTGGGAGGCAGAGCAAGGCAGATCTCTGTGTGTTCAAGGATACAGTCAGCATGGAGACACGTGCCTTTAATCTCAATACCAACCATAGATGACCTGGAGGTCTGTATAGATGGACAGTGACAAGGAGGTCATGTGGTTGGGTTTACAACCAATGAGAAGGCAGAATAGAAATTCAATAAAAAGGACAAACACACAGGAAATAGGTCTCTTGCAGAGAGGTAGGATAGCAGCGGGAGTGAGGGGCAAGTTCTTAGCTATTGTTCTGACCTCTTGGCTTTTAACTCTGTATTTGGCTCCGTGTTTCTTATTTAACATGATGGTTACATCTACATGGAAGAAATCCTACTTGACAGTGGTGGGCCACAAGAAAAAGATATAAATGAAAGGTAAAAATGAGAATTGTGGGAAAGAAGAAGTACTATGTGGGGAGAGGGAGGGTAGTCAGAGAGGATAATTGGGGAATACAACCAAAGTACTTTGTGTGTGTGTGTGTGTGTGTGTGTGTGTGTGTGTGTGTGTGTGTGTGTAGCTAGAGTTTTCCTGCCTTGCCCACAGTCAAGACAATCTTTGTCACCCACCAGTCCCACAGCCGCTCAGACCCAACCAAGTAAACACAGAGATTTATATTGCTTCAAACTGTATGGCCATGGGAGGCTTCTTACTAACTGTTCTTATAGCTTAAATTAATCTGTTTCCATAAATCTATACCTTGCCACGCGGCTCGTGGCTTACAGGCATTTTCACATGCTGCTTGTCCTGGCGGGCGGCTGGCAGACCCCTTCTGCCTTCCTGTTCTTTTATTTCTCCTCTCTGTTAGTCCTGCCTATACTTCCTTCCTAGTCACGACCAATCAGGTTTTATTTATTGACCAATCAGAGCAACTTGAAATACAGACCATCCCCCAGCATAGCCAAGTGCAGACCATCTCAGACACCTGCACTCAGGCGGTGGTCCTAATCATCCTCTATGCAGACCTGCTGGGTAAAGCCACGAGGAACCCAAGAATGGGCTCCCACAGGACATACAGAACATCCCACAGCATGTGTGTGTGTGTGTAAAACTGAGCAAAAATAATAAATTTAAAACATTAAATTATCCAATATCATAAAGTAAAAGGCATCATGCACACAATCATTGTTTCATCCTCTTCAGGATGAGGTAGTTTCTCCCTCTGCTTGGAATGATTTTGAATCAGTCTCCACAATGGGAAAGGCAGCTAGTCTCATGAATCCAAGCAAGTTTTAAATTGGTCCTTCCAGAAGAGGATTTCTTTGATGAAAGACCACATTTCTGTCAGAAGTTTTTGAGGTGAGGCCCTGTTCTATTTTGGTTTGGGTTTCTGTGATAAAACACATTTAAAAGTCAAGCCGGATAAGAAAGAGAGTATTTCAGATCATACTTCTACCTCACAGTCCAACATTGAGAGAAGCAAGTCAGAATTCAGGGCAGGAATCCAGGGCCAGGAACTGAAGCAGAGACCAGGGAAAATATATAGGACAGTTGGGTTTTCTCCCTGTGGCTCTCATGGAGCCCATGCAGGCAGACACTTAACTGCTGGTGCTAACTGGCAGGAGCAGCTTGTTACATCTTTGTCGCTTGGCTGGTTCTTTCTGGAGAAAGTACCATGTCAGATATTTTCTGTTGCTTTAGCTCTTGCTTTTCAATGACCTATGGCAGTTTTACCTTACCTCTATTTCCTCTTATCTCAGAAACCCACCATCTAATCCTATAGCTTACCCCAAATTCTTGTGGTAGCTTTGTAGTTCCAGTGTAAACTATCTGGAAACGGGCTAAAACATTGACTCAGTAGTTAAGAGAACTGGCAGCTCTTGCAGAAGACTCAGATTTAGTTCCCAGCACTCACATGGTAGCACATACCCTTCAATAAATCCAATTACAGAAAATCTAGTACCCTGCTCTGGCCTCCATGAGCTCCAGACTTACACAAAGTACAAGCACATATATGCAGAAAAACAGTTACACATACAATATAAAATAAATAAATAAATCTTTGAAAACATATCTGGAACACATTTCCCAGAATTTCCTTCCTTGTGTTGTTCTTTTTGGAGGTTGGACTTGGATAAAGCAATTACAGAGAGGTTGAGAAACAGGTGGGATGTATTTATATACATTTATGTTTTTTATGTACCTCAGTTGATAGAGGCCCAGGCATATATGATTTCAATGAGGTTCCAACTCATATTTCTGTTTTTTTCTCTACTCCTCACTTCTAGAGCTTTTCTTTATCTTGGGTCAAGTCTGAGTGTTGGATAATACCATGGTTTCTTCTGAAGTTTCCTAAAAGGAGTGAGACTGAGTAGATGGGGGAGGTTTATCCTTCTAGATTCCAATTGACTTATGATCCTAATTGTGTTTTCAAAAGTATGAGTACCATCAGGTGCTGCCCTCATGCTGCTATCCTTCCCTATTCTGGTCTAGCTGACCTTCTGTATCTCAGGCTCAGGACCAGATGCAAAGACAGTGATGTAGGGACTCCCCAGAACCAGCAGTTTCATGGGGTGAACTCCTCCTAATGTGTCTCTCACAACTTCACTCACGATGGCTCTGCTTCTCTCAGATTCACAAGGAAATTATGTTCTTTGCTCTTCCAGATGCCTAGTCTGAGCTCTGTGCTGTGACCAACTTAAAGAAAAACTGATACTTTAGATTATTGTGGTGTAAGATTCCCAAGTATAGAGAAAACTACACCTGCTCTCTGTGGTCTATTTTTAGCTAAATACTTTGAAGATAGAGAATTAAAGAAACACACACCAAGACTGATTATAAATTTCATAACATGAGGTTTTACTCAGAAACACACTTCTGATGCAGACCACAGAGGAAGGAGCCATGGTTAGGACTACCTGGTCTGGATGTGCAGGTGTGCTTCTCATCTGGGCTCCAAGAGAGAGGCTGTGCTTAAGGAACTCCAGTTTTTGTTCAGCTTGTGCTATCATTTCAAACACTGTGAGTGGGTTCGCAGAGTGCACAGAAATACTTCACTGAATCTTCTAGCTGTGAGGCTGAAATGACAAGCCTGATGGACTTGGCTGATTTCCAAAAGACAACAGAGTAGCGACTTCTTCTCTCCGTCTGAGTAGAAGAAGAAAACTGGCGAATAAGGAAAATCATCTCTCCACTAAGAAGCTGCTTGTACCAAAAAAGATAATAAAAGTTCCAACTTGTGTCATATGAACAGTCCAGGGTGATTTCTTCCCCCTCCCGTGTGCTTGCGGTAGATTGGACTTGAGTCACTTTCTGGCCCAAAATGGATCCTGGAGAACAATCAAAAGAAAGAAAAAAAGCTCATTCTGTGATAGTGTGAACAAAACACTGTTGGAATTCGCTAACTTAAGGACCAAGACAACCTAACTGAAGACATATTCTGTTCTCTTCTCTCTAATCCCTGTTCCCCATCACGTCCATGAGAACTGCTACATGCCTAGGGCAAGGCTTCCTGCTTAATATACTTAACTGTATGTGAGACATCCATACCAGAGAAAGCCAAGGCCACCAGCACACAGAGCAGGCTGTGAGGAGGTGTGCGGCACATCTCCTTCCTATGAATATGTCTCCTCGGCCTTAGATCAGTGTCAAGTGACTGCACGTGTACTGTGTTTCCTACATCGCCTCAAGCAGGAAATGGGGTTTTATATGATCATAGGTCACATGCTCCTTGTACAGAGGAAACAGTGTAGCTCACCATGGACTTTTACTTGCTTCCTGTCTTTCTTGGTAGTTAAAAGAGGCAGCACTTAAAATGGAGAACGGGAAAACCCGTCCCTGCTGAGCATGAAGCTGCTTTGAACTCATGGTTGTTATTTAGAGGGATAATGTAGGTGACCCAAAGCCAGATTCATCGTGAGCCATGTGCATTCTTTATGCACTTCCAGACCATTGTCATATGTTTACTTCTCTATATCAATTATCTAATAAAACCTAATTTTTAAAAAAAGTTCTCACAGGTCTGTGAATTTCCCTGTGACTCACTGGGATCTGAAATAATCTTCCTCCTTTACTAAGTCCTGGGGTCCATATAAATTAAACAATTAGTAGAACTATTTTTAAATCACATGGTAAAGGGCAGTCCAATCAGAATGCCAGAAGATACCTGTTTGTTTATGTTCTGTGAAATTGTAACAGAAATATAATAGTAGTCTTTAGAGGCTAAGGAGATGCTCAGTGTGTCACTTGCCTGCTGTGAATCATAAGGACTGATGTGTTGATCTCCAGCAGCCACTTAAGAACCCAGGTGATGTGGGTGCACCTGCAGTCAGTGCTCTGGGAAACAGACAGGAAAATCATGGGGTCTCACTAGTCAGTCTAATCGATTCGTGAGCTCCAGTGTCAGTGAGAACCTCTACCAATTAAATAAATATATATATAAACCAATCAATTAACTAAATAAATGAATAAATAAATGTGGAGAGAAATAAAGGAAGATATCCAATGTTGACCACTGGATTATACACACACACACACACACACACACATGCACGCACACAAATAAACACAGTGGGAGAGAGACAGAGGTAGAGAGAAGTTACTCTAATTTAAAAACCTTATTTTACAAAACCTGATTTGCCTGTAATAGACTAACATTTAGTTTTATTCGGAAGATGTCCTGTTCTTGCCACACAAAGAACTCTACTTATTACATAACCTAGAAGCTTCTATACCATATTGCCCTTAAGTATTCAGTCTCACTTGTTAAATTAAGTGTAATTTTAATGTATAAAATGGTCTTACAATAATCTTGCCATGTCTCTCTGTGACTCCAGCTTATTATATGTACATGATACATGTAACCTGGAAGTACTTAGGGGCATGTTAATGCCACATAAATTGGTGGTTGAATTTGGGGTATTGCTGTATCATCATTGAAAAATATAACTCTTAATCTTTCATTTGCTCTCATTATCCCAATGGATGAAATGAACCAAATGGCATTCAGGAAAGAAAGTACAAACAAGGTCTCTGAAAGAGCTCCAGGTCTCACTATGAGTTTAAATAACTGGTCAACATGTACATAGGGGAAGAGTTTCTGGAATCTGGGGTTTACTCCTCTGCCTCTCTTACTGCTGAGTGCTGACAGGCAGCACATGCCCTGGACTGCAGTCTCTGTGGATGAGCAGGAGACCATGGGAGCCACAGTAGCCCAGAGAGCTCAGGATGGTACGGCTGTACCCCTGCTCTATTCTCCATGGAGCAGGTGGATGCTCTCCATACTGCATGGCCACAGCCTCTGAGATGGGGCTTTGGAGCACATTGGGGTTGAGTGTTGGGCTGGACAATTGGTCTCATTCTAAATTGTCTTTCCTTGAGATTTAATTGACACCAATTCTTCCTAGTGAAGAAAATGCTTGTGGTTGGTAAAGAATGGCTCAGCAGTGAAAAGCACTTGCTGCTAAGCATAAAGATGGAAATTCAGGACCCATTTAATAAGCTGAGTGACCTGCAAAACCTGCAACTCCAGATTTGAGTGATTGACATCATCTTCTTGCCTTCACATGAACACAGGTGTATGCAACCATGTGTACACACAAGCTTGTATAGACACACATGGATGTGTGTAGCTAGTTTTCCTGCCTTGCCCACAGTCAGGACAAATCTCTATCACCCGCCAGTCCCATAGACGCTCAGACCCAACCAAGTAAACACAGAGACTTATATTGCTTACAGACTGTATGGCCATGGCAGGCTTCTTGCTAACTATTTTTATAGCTTAAATTAATCTATTTTCATAAATCTATACCTTGCCACGTGGATCGTGGCTTACCGGCATCTTCACATGCTTCTTGTCATGGCGGCAGCTGGCAGTGTCTCTCCCTCAGCCTTCCACTTCCCAGAATTCTTCTCCTCCTTGTCCCGCCTATACTTCCTCCTGCTTGACTACTGGCCAATCAGTGTTTTATTTACTCACCAATCAGAGCAACACATTTGCCATACAGAACATCCCACAGCAGGTGTGCACACACACAAATGTAAATAAGAATAAAATCTTTAAAAAACAAAGCCTAATATTTTAGGAATCATACTAATGAGATCATTCATTCAGGAAAATGAGGATTAAGTATACTGGTGGGGTTGGAACTTTGTCACTGGTCTATTGCTGTGAAGATACATCATGACAAAAGTTAAATTTTACAGAAGAAAGCATTTAATTGGGGGCTTGCTTACAGTTTTAGACATTTAGTTCATTATTGTTGGAACATTGTTGTCTTAGTTAAGGTTTCTGTTGCTGTGAAGAGACACCATGACCACAGCAACTCTTATAAGGAAACCTCTAAATTGGGGTAGCTCACTTGTAATTTCAAAGGTTCAGTCCTTTGTTATCATGGAGGAGAGCAGGGCAGTGTGTAGGCAAACATGTTGCTGGCTGCATCTTGATCAGAAGGCAACAGGAAAATGGTCCATGATACTGGGAATATCTTGAGCAACAGAGACCTCAAAGCTACCCACACAGTGACACACTTCCTCCAACAAGACCACACCTACTCCGGCAAATGCACACCTCCTGATAGTACCACTCTCTTTGGGAGACATTGTTTTTCAAATCACTATAATGGTCAAAAGATGGTGCATGGTGAACAATGTCTTGGGGAACTATAACAAAGGCTCCAGGAAACAAGACAAAGAGCCTTTTACCTTAAGTGCACTGTGCTCCCTGGATTAGTCTTGGGCATGATTTTGTGCCTCCTATGCTAAATGTTTACATTCAATTTATAAGACATGTTCATTCTTGTTGGATATTAGAACATAGCTGTAGAACACAACCTGGTCAGTGTTCCCTGAATCTGGATATGGCCTTCTGCATTACTTTTGTGCTTTCCCAGATATGATCATGCCAGGCATTTGTGTTAAAGTTGGCCTGTCCTGCAAAAGTTCTGTGAAAGGGCTTCTGTGTGAATATTTAGTATGTGTTTACTGGCATTTATTTACATGTTTTTCTGATCAGGTTTTGTTTTGTTTTATTCAAAAAAGCCTCCTTTGGATCATTGCTGTCTTTGTTATATTCATAAATAAAAGTACACTGAACCTGAAGTAAGTTTGTGTACGGCTTTAGACTGTAGTCAGCCCCATTCTTTCAGGTCCAGATATATCTGCATAGGTCAGCAAAAGTCAACATATTCTCATCATGTTAGGGAACATGGTGGCATGCAAGCAAGTACTGGGACAGTAGCTGAGACATATAACCTTATGTGAAGGCAGAGGAGAGAGACAGACAGAGACAGAGAGAGAGAGACTAATGGTTTGACATAGGCTTTTGAAACCTCAATGCCCACACCCCAAGTAACATATTTTCTCCAACAAAGTTACACTTTCTAATCCTTCTAATCTTGGGGAGTTCACTGGTATTGTAAGATATATCTGTAAGGATTCTGTATATGCACAGCTTGGGGTCTTGTCTGGCGCCTTATTACATCATCACCGGGCAAATGTGTCCTAGCCTAAAAGCCGGATGTGCACACCCATGCTCTCTCTCTCTCAGTCTCTTTCTTTCTGCACCCCTCTCCTGTGTTTCCTCTCTGCCAGGTCTCTCTCTCTCTCTCTCTCTCTCTCTCTCTCTCTCTCTCTCTCTCTCTCTCCTAATAAAGCTCTAAAACGTACCACTGGGTTCTGTCGTGACTGTGACCTTTACATGCAGTAACTAACACCAGCATCACCCGGTGATGATGTAATAAGGCGCCAGACAAGACCCCTGTATATTCTGCGCATATACAGAATCCTTACAGATGTATCTCACAATACCAGTGAACTCCCCAAGATTAGAAGGATTAGAAAGTGTAACTTTGTTGGAGAAAATATGTTACTTGGGGTGTGGGCATTGAGGTTTCAAAAACCTATGTCAATGCCTGAATACCCTTTCAATATCTCCTGCTTCTAAGAGCCGATTGACTTTGTTTTCCTTCTTAACTTTCCTTTTACATACTGAAAACTACTCACTGTGGATGAGAAGGAGAGCTTGTAGGCTTTACATGTTTAAATAAATTATCTTCCACATTGTTTTTATTGGTTTTGGTTTTCTAAGAGAAAGTTTGACTATGTTGCTCAGGCTAGACTCCCAATCTTAGGCTCAAACATTCTTCCTGTCTTCACTTCCTAGGTAGTTAGGGCTAACACAACTAGCAACTATGTGGCATGGAAACTGTGGCAAGCCACAAGAATATATTACAGAGATTCAGCTGTGTATTAAAGCTATACTTTGACTGTCCAAGGGTCTGTCAAAAGGCAAGCCATTTATTATGAATATTTGGTGTTATCCAGCCTTTAATATTTCAGCTGTCTTCTGCTATGAAATTCTTGCATGCCCAAATATTTCCAGACCATTTGGCTAACAGTTCAGCTCTCCAGACCTCCTGAACTTCTAGGTACTAACTCTCAGGCTGAGCCTAGGAGACAAGCTGGCTAGAGACCCAAAGCTTTGTTTCTTGTGTTAATGAAGCTCAGACCATCCTTTAGCCTTGAGTAGCTCTCTAGAGCAATTGACTGAGAACAAAGAGGTTTTTACATATCAAGGTGGAAGGTAGAGCAACATTGCTGAGGAGGCAGAGAACCTTATGATCAAGGAAAGAAAGGACAGGCATTTTCTGTAGAGCATACAGGATGGCATGACCAGGGAGAAGAAAAGAACACAAATTTAATGTTGATGGTAAGGCAGAACTCTTGAGCCAAGAGCAGAAAGTAGCAGAGTTGGAGAATGAAAAAACAGATGAAGATGAGGCTGGAAGCATAAGAGCTTAGTTATTAGCAGGACTATGAGAGGGAACTGGATAGAATTGAAGCTATATAAACAGGATTTCATCCCAGAAAAATAAAGTAGACAGATAAGGAGCTTGGTGCATGTAGAGTTACTCCTGCCCTGAATGCCTGACAGAGCTGTAGCTGTATTGATAGAATTTTGTCCTCGAGGAATAAAGTTAGCAGACATAAAAGCATAGTGTATGTAGAGTTTTTTCCCTCAGATATCCTACACTGCACATAGGGAAATTCCTGAACCCTGGGTAATCAATAGGAAACATTTATATTTATAAAGTAATTAATTTTTTCCAGTGGAAATCTTATTGTTGTTTATGTAGCATTAAGTGAGTAAATCCTGCAAAGTATTAGGCAATGAGAAGTCCTTTTCTTATTATGTGTGCTGCAGCTGCTTCTATGAGCTAAAGTAAATAAATAATTAAAAAATTTTTTCTTCTATGAAACAAACACATGAAATCATTTCTTTAGTGAAAGTTATGTATTGTCATAATATGAGCGAATTAAATTCTTCTTACCCCACTGATGTCATTTGTCTATTGTAAACTCACCTGCATTCTCTGGAGTGTGCCCTAGTTTACACACTTGAATTTCTTGAAGGTAGATGGGGATATAAGAAGCAAAACAAGAGGAATTCAAAGTGGTCGGTGGTCACATAAGTCACAACTTCATTTGTGTTGAAATGTGGTGATATTTTATTTATATGTTAATAAAGTTTGCCTGGAGATCAGAGGAAACAGCCAGCCATTAACACAGAAGTCAGGCAGTGGTAGCACACAGCCTTCATCTGATCACTTGGCAGCAGGGTCTCTGTGTGTTCAAGGTCACCCTGGGGAACAGAGCCAAGCGTGGTGACATATGTCTTTAATCCCAGTACCAACTATAGAGACCTGGAAGTCTGTACAGACAGGCAGTGATGAGGAAGTGAGGTAGCTGGTCTAAGAGCCAATGAGAGGTCAGAACAGCAAGGCAATAAAGGCCTGGGTAGACAGGAAGTAGCTCTTTTTGGAAGCTGTGGCATGGTGAGTTAAATTTGGCTGGTGGCTCTCACTATTTTTCTGATCTCTAAGGCTTTCACCCCTGTGTTTGACTCCGTGTTTTTTTTTTTTTTTATTTAATAAGACTGCTTAGAAATTCGTCTACGTTAGTCACCACTTCCCTTGTAATCAGAGGAAATTAAAGTGAAAGACAACTCTATGTGATTTCTATCATAGAAACCAAACATAAAGTGTACCGACATTGGACTGTAATAACCACACATCAACAACACTGTTGACAAGAGTGTATGGGGGTGGGGATGTTGTAATTTACATTTGGGGCAAACCAACCACACAGAGAAATATCTGTACAACCCTAAGGAAAACAATGTGCCTAAGTGAGTTAAGGAAATAGATCCAAAACTAAATAAATCTAAAATAGAGCCAGTGGTTTCTGAGGAGCAAAGGAGACTGGAGAAAAGCAAGCGGTGACTTCCCTTTGGTCTGTCTGTGACCTGAAAGAGTCTGATCCTTATATTCACTGTGTCACCTGTCACCTGCTCCTGCAAATGAAAACCTTTCTGTACCTCTGCCAGGCTCAGCCCCACAGCGGGCTTTTGCTGGAGCCTCCGCTGCATGTTTGGGTATGGGCTGCAGGTGCCTGGAGAGCACTGTGCACTTGCTGCACAGAAGTAGGTGGCTGAGTCTCCAGGCTGAGAATCTGTGATGTGCAAGGAAAGCTCTTTTGTGCTTTTACTGAAAAAGACTGTGAATCTTCCATCTTCCTTTTTATTTGACACTGAATTTATGCCTATCAAGAATGCAGGACCTTCACCAGGGAACTGCCGGTACCATGGGAAGTAGTCAAATGCACTATTCTCATAAGTGCAGTTCAGAACTGAAGTCCCTCCTGCCGAGACTGTCAGAGATTGGGGACTTTGTCTCACCTGCTGCTGGTCATGTGTCTCCTGCTGCTGGCCACTCACCCCTGTGTAGAGAAATAACAAATGCCATTTGGTTTCCAGGTAAATACTCCCTGTTTATTATTTCAACATTTATGATTTTGTCTGGTACCCTAGTTGTCTCATGCCTCCACATAATCACACATCCCAGGGTTTCTCCACCATGACTCACAGGCTAGGTGAAGGACCAGGACTAAAAATGATGCTTTCAGGATCTTGTCCATTCCTCCTAGACTGAAGCTTGGGGAGAGCTCCGTGGGCCTTTTATCTCCCCACAGAACACACAGACTACAACTTCACAGGAACCTAGGTTCTTTCAACAGGCTCCGCCCCTCACAAACACTTCCTCTCAGGGTATTTCTGATATAGGAAGCACTTCCCCATTTTGCTCAAATGTATTATCACTGAATATAGAGAATCAGAAATCCCCTCATTGTAATTCTACCATTATACACTGTTGGTAAAATTGTGTGTTGATATAGCCACCAAGAATAGCAGTATGGGTTTTCTGAAGCAAAGAAAGAAAGATAAAAGAAAATGAAAGAAAGAAAGACTGGGGTGGGAGGGAGGGAGGGAGGAAGAAAGGAAGGAAGGAAGGAATAATAATCGGTGATTCAGCTAATACCACATATGGGCATTTTTCCAGGGGAACTGATGTCATCATGTAAGAGAGAGACCTGCATATGTATGTTTATTACAGCACCGTTCAGGACTGCCAGGATGCAGATGCAGCCTAGCTACCTACCACCTGTCAACTGACAAATGAAGAAAATATTGTACCTGTAACACTGGAGTAATATTCATCCACAAAGAAAAATGAACAAGCACCATCCGTAAGAAAATCAATGGTATTGAAGGGCATAACGTTAAGTAAAGTAAAGCAGACATGTAGAGACACAACACATATGTGTCCTCATATGTGAAAACATTAAAAAAATGAAGGAAGATGGAAATGAAATGAAAGTAAAGATGATCTGAAAATAGAAGTTAGACAAATGAGTAAGGGGATGGGGAGGAAAACAGAGGGTGAAGAAGAGATGAATATGAGGAAATCACCACAAATGCATATATTAGAATTTTACAACAAACCCACTAATTTGTACAATTAATGTGTGCTGATAATTATGACAATTATACGATTAAAGAAGGATCAATTTAAATTTCCCCCATTCTAGAAGCTTATACATACACACACACAAAGGGAGTTACCCTATTATAAGGCAAGAATAAATCTACTAGACACCACAAGATAAGAAATAAAAATGCCAGTACCAGGAATGGGTTACCTCTTTTGGTGTTTGAACTGGTTTGCTTTCTATTGCTAAGATAAATAAACATAAAGTCCAGATTAAACTTAGGGAGGGAATAATTTATTTGGTTTACATTTCTGATCATAGTCCACCAGTGAAGTAAGCCATCAGGAATTCAAGCTGGAAAAGTGGCAAGAAACATACATGAAAGCTGCTGACTGGCTTGTACCCCCTTGCTTGATCATTGTATCGGTAACGCCCGCATTACCGATACCCGTTCACCATGTCCGAGCGAAGGGCTGCGGATTAAAAATAGAGACAAGAGACAGCGAGTCATTCGCCACGACTGAATGCCGAATGCCATTTATTGAAAGAGGGAAGAAACCTTAAATACAAGCTTACAACACAAATGGAGGATCCCCGGAGGGCAGAAGTTCGCTACCAATGGTCTACATTCTAGACCCAATGTTCTACATTCTTGCATCTAAGTTGTTTACACCAAATACAGGATGCACCTAAGTTGTTTACACCACATACAGGATGTAGGAACAAAGAACCTCCGGAAGAGCTCTCTGGTGATCCTTAGGTGAGAAGGACACCGGCAGGGAATCTGAATAGAGAGGATATCTGGTAAAGGTCAGCAAGCAAGGCGGCAGCCACTCACAGTCGGGGGCCAGGGCCCATGGAAGGTTTCTTCCCTCTTTCAATAAACGGCATTCGGCATTCAGTCGTGGCCAACGACTCGCTGTCTCTTGTCTCTATTTTTAATCTGCAGCCCTTCGCTCGGACATGGTGAATGGGTATCGGTAATGCGGGCATTACCGCTACAGATCATCTTGTTTTTTATACAACCCAGGACATCCTGCCTAGGGGGTGACAAAGGCCACAGTGAGGCTGGGTCCTCCATGTCAATTGTTAAAGAAGAAAATGTTCAAAGACATGCCTGCAAAACAGTATGACAAATAAATTTCTTTGACTGAAGTTCCTTCTTCCTAAGTATCTCCAGTTAGTGTCATGCTAACAGAAATTAACCTTCACCCTGACCCATGATCAACCTGACACATAGAAACAGCATTACTTAACTATAGTCTATCCTTTCTAGTTGATCCCCAACAGCAAATTCACAGTGCCGACCTAGCCTTAACCTCCCACATTCCCTTCTCTCCTGCAGCTTCCTCTCTGCCAAAACCTGTATCACACTGGGGGGACTCTCACACATTGTCAAGTTGGGTTTCCAGATTGAAATGAAGCCCTGACCTCCCTAGACCATAGCTTCTGTGTGATTAATATGAGGAGACAATTCTCAGACTTGCTTCAGTTTAGTTAACCCCTTATTTATTACAGCTGATTCTTTAGCCCCAGCTAATCAGGATCAATTGTCCCAATAAAGCACAAGTTTCATTTACACAGATTTTTAATTCAAATCATCACACAAACAATCCTGATAGAATTTTTGCTTCTCTTAAACTTTGTAGCCAAGCCTCCATGGTCTGGACCTCATTCAACATTCATACATTCCAATTGCCCAGAAGAGCTCATTAAATGCTGAGCACTCAATGGCTTTTTCTAGCCCAAAGTTCCAAAACACCTCCACAATTCTCCCCAAAGGCAACATGGTCAGGTTCATCACAGCAATCACCTGTGTTCCTAATATCAATTTCTGTATTAATTATTTTCTGCTGCTGTGATAAAACTCTGATCAAAAAACAACTTAGGAAAGAAACGGTTTTTTACCTATTACCATTCTCTGATTACAATCCACCACTGAGGGAAGTCAGGGCAGGAACTGAAGCAGAGAAAATGGAGGAACACTGATTAAGGGTTCACAGTCCATGGCCTGCTCAACTTGATTTCTAATACAACCCAGGATCATCAAGACCAGGGGGTTGCACTACCCAAAGTGGGCTGGACCCTCCCACATCAAGCATGAAGAAAATGCCTCCATAACATACTCACATGACAATCTGAGGGGAACAATTCCTCAGCTGGGGTAATCTCTTTCTGGGTATGTCTAGTTTGCATTAATTTGACAAACAAATAAATAACCAGAACACTGTTGTTGGCCAGCATACTTCCATAGACAACCCCTGTAGAACGTGCTATGACATTAAAAGTGCTATTGGTTATCCTTCAGAATTTGATGGTAAGCACCTATTGCTGAGCATATCACATACTTCAACATAGAACATGGATAATGTAAGCTAGTACTGACCTGGAAACTTCATTCATACTGCACACTTCCATATGGGCTATGCATGTTACTAGGGGAGAAAAGCAATCCTCTGTCTCACCCAGCTGTGAACACCGTGAGCTACAATAAGAACTGGACTGGAAAGATATGCCCACTGGTGTGGTAGTTGCACAAACATCTTGGTAGTAACCAACCCCTCTCTGATAATACTCCATAAGATGAAACTCCCACCTGGCACCATTATCAAGTCAGGAATCTCTGGCTAGGCATGTCATGTCCTAGGTATTGAGACAAAAGTCCGAGGTATTGGTAGCAAAAGTTCATGAGAGTATACAGGAGTGACAACTAGAGTTCAGAAGGTCAACCTATCAGAACTAAGGGATCTGTTAGGGGAAATCATCACACAAGGCGTTATGGAATTACTGCCTTTGAATGAACTGGCTGTCTCTTGTTGTAAACTTCTTGTGCAATAACAGCTATGATTCTCCCCATTTACCGTGCATTTCCATATTATGTGTATATGTAATCTCACAATTGCATCTCAATCTTGAGCACAACTTTCCCTATATATTTGGGGTTACTGGATAACTGTCCCCAGCTGTGTTTATTTTTCTTTAACATATATCTGGCCAGGGCCATTGTCCAGACAAAAGTATTTCAGTAGATACCTTTTTCAAAGGACAAAACTGCGTGTAGATAAACATTAGCTCATCTCACCCACAGATAGAGAAAAGAACCACTAGCAATTAAATCCCCAACTCCTTACCTTCACTCCAGGTTATTTATACAAAACCCTAATTTAAGAGATTTACTGCTCACATTCCTGGGATGATGTTTTAGCCACTTGCTAGTTACTGAGCTAGGGTAGTTACTTCCCACTGACCCAAGGAGATTGCCATCAAGACCAGGCAGGCAATAGGTGCCAAGCTTCTTTTTATGCAAATTAAGTTTTTATTCCTCCTCAGCCAGGTGCTATTCCTAGATTTTCTGCTCAGCAATTATTCTGATCAAAAGTGCTTTTACTAACCAAATGCTACATGTGCTGACAGAGGTTGCTTAGCCACCTAGCATATGCCCCCCTCCCTAGCAGAAAGCAGCTGCAGCCTGGATGAGTGGGAAAAGCAGCGCCAAAGACAGTTTACTTTCTTGTAACGTATTGACCCCTAACATTCTACCTAGCCATTTCTAGATTTTTGAGCACATAAATTCCCTAATTGATCTTAGCCTTTAGTTGGCCCTACCAGAGAACTCCCCTTTAGTCACTCCCCTTTTGGGTTGTAAATTTAAAATGACAATTATTGCTTTATGTGTGGATTCTTATCACCTCTCTGTGACCCTGAACACTTCTAGCCTCTCATTGCTTTGCCAAAGAATTACTGCATATGAATATATACTGGTTCTCTGAGAGAACTGAGAAGAATTGGTGGAGAAGAACAAAGATGAGGATGAAGGTGGAAAGAACTAGATGGAGATGAAAGAACAGCAGAAGAGACTGAGAGCAGGAGGGACTGAGAGGAGCTAAGTATGAGAACAGAAAAGAAACTGTGTAGGTAGGATTGACTTAGAAGAATAAAGTGAATGGACTAATGAGCTCAGAGTGCTTAGATTCATTGAATATCCCTCAGATTAGTATCTTTAGCCACTTTTAGTGTCTGTTTCTGGACCCTGATAGAACTCTCCTTGTGGGGAATTCGGTACCTAGGAGAGAACTTACTTCTAGTAGTCTACTAAATGGACATAGTATGAATCCAACTCCTAATGACTTAGTGTTGTACACATAGAT